AAAAATCAATTGAATTTGTCCTGCGATTAAAGGAAACCAGAGCTTTTCGTTGAAGACATTCAGTCGAATGTTCGAGTGATGCCAAAGTTAAATATAAAATACGGCGGCGCCGATGGTCGCCAGCATCCAGAACCAATGGTTCCATGGAAGTCAGTCTGTTCTAGCCCCTCGACGCGAACCGGCTATTTTTTAATTTAATTATTAACAAACGAACGATCGCTCCCCCCAGTTTGACGTACCCCAAATTTAATCTCTCGTTTTTGTGTGATAAGTGCAATTGTGCGATTAAATCGAGTGCAAGTGAAGACCGAAAAAAGGTAACGGTTCATTTTTTTCATTATCTCGATTTATCGAATCGATTTTTCACTCGATTTTTCGTACGGTTCGACGACCTCTTGCTGTAGAACAGAATTATCTTTCTTCTTTCCGTATTTTTGGCACGAGAAAAGGATTTTTCAATCTCTTTACCCTGTGATGTAACAATTACTCCGTCTGACTCAATCGTTATCCGAAAATAATTTCAATTTTCTTCATTTCCTCCGCCAATTGTAATCCAGTGATTTGTAATCCTATTACCGCTGGATTTTATTTATTCCGCTGGCGATTTTATTTTTGGAAATATCCAGAGTCTCGGGCTCTCATAAATGTTTGTTCAACCCGATTTTTTAAACAATTTCACTCCTGGATTTGTTGAGCTCCGGGTGGAGATCGGGATTTAAATAACGATTTTCTGTGTCAGGCACTTGAAATAGGAAATTTTATTTTTTTTCGTGATGGGAGTCATGGTGAAATATTCTTTTCTCTGCTAGTACAGACTCTGGGCTTGAACCGGTTACGCCTTTGGGATTAAAAATAGGAATTTCGGTATATTTAGACGGCCTACACTCGCAGCATCCGGTCAAAATGACTCTTCCTCGAGGCACAAAAAATTATTCTTTCTTTCCTATCATAAATTTCCAACGCATTATTTTTTACGCTTTTTTTTCGCCGTCAAAACTGGAGCTAATGAAATCGGTTTTGTGCTCGGAAAATCGGTTATTTATAGGAGAATTCTGGGGGAAAATGTCACAGCTGTCAAAAGATGTCCGTGAACCTCAAATTCAGGATTGTCGCGGGTTTTTCTCCCGGAAAATGGGAGAAAATCGAGAAAAATGGGAGATTATTCCGGAATTCGTGCGGGAAATTTGGGGGAAAATCGGATCGAGAAAATCATTGGTTTAGGCTGTCATGAATATTCTGGGTGACATCCTATTGACGATTGATATGAGGGCTAGGCCGTCGTTTGGATTCGGTATTTTGAGAGAATTTTGGCGACGAGCCATTGGGAATTGTATTCCTGATTCTTCCGACGCACTTGCTCCGTTCAAATCCCCGATTACATCTGCAAAAAATTTCCCGACCATTAGCTTTATGTTCCGGGGCCTGTCACCTCTTCTATTTTCCGTTTATCTGTTGTATTCCAATATTTTTTAACATTACGTAATTTATTTCCAACAATTCAATCGATATTTCCTCAATAAAAATTTATCATAAAAAAAATTGAACAATATTTTTGCAAATGAATAAAATAATCGAATGCCCAACATTTCTCGTCACAATTTTCTCGAATAATTATAATATATAAATATGATAAATAAATTGCAAAAACATTTAATTAAAAATGAATAATTGAATTTCGTAAAATATAATTTCATAAATTAAATGACAAGAAAAAAATGACATTGTATTATTTTCAGGGATGCTGTCTTGAATAAAATTGAAGAATTGAACATGTCCCACCCCCCGCGACCCCCGGGTGGTTACGGGCCCCCAGGATGGAGCCGTCCAATCCCCCCGAGTCCGTTCCGCCCAGCATCACCCTCTCGTGGTCCACCCACTCCAATTCACCACCCAATGTCCCCCCTGACGTACCCCGGAATGATGCACCCGATGAGTCCCGTGCCCATCGGCATGCCCATCTCACCAGGAATGTCTCCAGTCTTCGGTTGTCCATCACCTGGATTTATCCAGTGTCCAAGACCTAGATGGCCGTCTCCCGTTTCCACTGGAAACGCTGCGCCTCGACCTTATGTACCCCAGGTAATTTATTTATTTATTGACACGGTGTGTGGAAATTTTATTTAATTTTCTATGTGATGCAGAACCCTTTGGATACCCCTCCAATACCCTGTGGACCCCCTGAGTATCTTATTGCTCCTTATCGACCTGGGGATTATCAATATGTTGGCGTACCTCT